TTTCCGGTATTTTGAAAATCCGTATATTCTTTCTCCTTGCTCTTGCTTCTTGGTCAACCAACTTGTCTTCGTTTTGAATCTGTGTTTTTAGCATGCTTCTCACTGCTAGCTTGACCCTGTCTAGCCTTGCTTCCGCAACCACGATGCGCTCTTCGGCCTCTTCGATCCGTTGATTCGCCTTGTTAATGTCTTCTTTTAAAGCATGTAGATGTTGTTTGTTTTCTTGCCTGAATTCTTGTATTTCACGGAAGATCCTTTCGAGATTGACTTTGGGTTTTTCGTTACCTTTTGATTTTCCAGATCCGACATTAGTGTTAGCATAGCTGTCCTTCACCTTCATGTCTTGAGCATTTTTCTTGCTTCTCTCTCTTGTTTCCATCCTATCCTGCGCTTGCTATCTTGCAGTAAAGTCTATCATTAGGTAGAATAGGTTGCAGGAGTTTTATTAAAATCTTTGAGGAACAGCCTTCTACTTATGCTGCCACTCGGTTGAAACCAGAACCGGAACCCCCATTTTATTTCCTTTCACTGCTCAATAGGAAGAAACACACGAAGAATAAAAATTAAACCGCAGTTTATTTAATTACTTTGGCTGAATCTTGATAAACTGCCTCGTTGTGCCTTAAATCAGAACAAGCTAAACTGCTGCGTTTCTGTCATAGACTTAAGCGTTTTTGTCAAAGGCAGCAAACGTCTCATCTCTTTAACTGGAGCAGCTGAACAAGTGGCCCCAGGTCTGTGTGGGAGCCGAGAACAGATAGAAAAAGCAGAAAGTTGTGCCTTTATTGCTCACTGTCTTTAACGTAGAGCCTTTTAAGCCACAAAATAAAATCTGAATATTTTCTATATAAATCCTGGTGTTTTACATGATTTGTTTAAGTTCTGATACTTACCAGATATTAATTTCTATCTACTTGTTTGTTCTTAGTCACCCAGGACATGACAAAACTAAAAAAGGTTTAAAAATAGAGCAACTTAAGGTATAATTTAAATAGCCCATAACTTGAATTGGGAGCCACTATAATAAGTCAATGTTTATGCAGAATTTTCTTAAGAGGAAACTTGTATTTAATTAGAACCTTAAATTCTAAATAAATAGGTCTGCTACACCTTTACACCTCTTTGTAAAGGTGTAGCAGAGATGAGATCAGAGACTGAACAAAACTCGTGCAGAAACATTTGAATTTGCTTACTGAGAATAAAACACTTTTGATGCTTTACTAGTCATTTTAGGTCCTGCAGCTTGAATGTGGTTTTTAAACCACATTCTGCTACATTTCACTGTAACTTTTCCAACTCTCCTAAAAATTGGTCTTAAAAATGTTGCCCCCACTAATGAGATGGGATTTACGCCCTGGGTAGAGAGCCCAGTCAACCTGGCAGATGGAAGCCGGAGAGAACGCACCATGCACAGGGAGAACACGAGAATCGAACCCACAGCCTTCTGGTTACCAACTGATCCACTGCACCCCCCCAAAAAAACAGATTGTTTATTTGCTTTATTTTGAAGGAATCAATACTCTGTGGTGTCCAGGGAAAACTGCTGATTTTCCTGAAGCTGTTGCAGTGAGACGGCTTCCTGTAAATAAAATAACTCACGCTGAGCACATTTAACGGCCTAAAGGAGAAGAAAATACTTTAACTCATCTTATGGTAACTGATTTATTAAATCTTCATATCCATGGATGTCAAAACCATCATGGAGGGCAGAGCTACTAGCGGCTAACGCTAAGCTCTCTGAGACTCATTTCAACCACAGTTTGAATATTTTGTTCTGAAAAATCTTTTATTTTGTTCTACTTTTTTCCAGGAAAGTTGTTTATTTGAGTTGCAACATTTGTGGTGATGAACTATAAAACAATAAACAAATGGAAACATTACAGAGGAAAAATAAAGAGAAGAAATGAAAAGTTCCAGTTGTGATGAACCAAAAGCAGCTCTGACCAGGTTTCAGTCTGGGTTTAAAGGAACTCAGGGTTTCAGCTGTTTTTCAGTTTTCTGTAAGTTTATTCCAGATCTGTGGTGCATAGAAGCTGAAAGCTGCTTCTTCATGTCTGCAGGCAGTGTTGTAGGACTCGTCTTGATCATTTATTGATGGTCTTGGACTCGACCGCATTTGGTCTCGGTCTCAGGCGCTGAGGACTCGGCATT